AATTTTTATGAAAAGTTGTGATTGTATGAAAAGTTGTAATTTTTATGAAAAATTGCGACTTTTATACCAAAAGTTGTAACTTTTATGAAACGTTGTGACTTTTATGAATAGTTGCGACTTTTATGAAAAAGTTGTGACTTTTATGAAAGGTTATGACCTTTCCGAAGGGTTGTAACTTTTTCAAAGAGTTGTGATATTTCTGATGAAGCACAATAAATATTTGTTCACACTAGCCTTTGTTGTCCATAAATAAAGGAATTTCCTGCCACTATTATTTGTAGGTTTTTTCCTGTTGTCGGGTAGTTGAATTCAAATATATTAATTAACCTTCTTATGAAGTTTATTTCATTAACGATGTTTTCTTCCTCCTGTTTCATGGTGCTCAATCTTTAATATAATTCATAACGATTCATGTAATTACATAAATTTCTTTTTCTATTTTTGTGACTTTTTTTAACTTTGTAAAACATTCAGCAAAGATGATTTGAAAATTGATCTTCTCTTTTGTCCCATTCTATAGATTTCTCCATATATACAAAAACAAATTGATTTTGATTGCAATGCGGCATTACTACACTCACCTATCATTCAACAATTCATAACAATGTTGAAATTGTTGAATTTATTATATTTGGTTCTTTAACAAAATATTTATTTCTACCACTATTATTTGTAGGTCTTTTTTTGCTATAGGAGAGTCGAATTTAAATACATTAATTAAACTTCTTATGAAGTGTGTTTAATTCCTCAAAGTTTTCTTCCTCCTATTTCATGAAGATCAATATTTTATTGTAACTCATAGTGTTTTATGTATCTATTGCAATTTCTATTGCTATTTGGTGATTTTTTTCGAACTATGTTAAAAGTTGATGTTAGGATGATTAAAAATTTATCTTCTCTTTGTCTCTTTCTATAGGTTTTTTCATATAGTTTTTGGGAATTTGTTTGTGGGTTATGTTATATATGATAGCACACAACAACAAATATGTGATACTCCCTCTATCCCAATTTATGTGACTCACTTTTCTTTTTAGTAAGTCACAAAAAGAATGAAACATTTATATATTAAGTAACAATTTGCCTATAAAATGTATATTTGACCCTTAATAAAATGATTTACACTCACACAAATTTCTATCATTCATTGTGTACCACAAGTTTTAAAAGTCTTCCTTTCTTTCTTAAACTTTAAGCAGAGTCAAACTACCTCACACAAAATGGAACGGAGAAGTGACTAATTCGGAACCAATGATGAAGTTTGTTTTTAAAAAAACAAACAAATTGTTCTCTTGCTTGCCACCGTTTGTATATTATTTGGATTATTTTTTAGGTACAAAATTCGTATGTCTTTGCACTCTTCCTATAATATTAGTATAGACACAATTAGTTCACTTCTTTTATCGCAAATTAAGTAATTTTTTTATACTTCTTCGTCTTTTCTTTTTGGTCATAACAAGAGATCATTTTTTCTTAAAATTAATAAATGTTCAAATACACTATAACAAAAGTATTTTTTATCGGCAATAAATTATATATGCACATTAATGGAAGAGCGCTAGAGCCTTTACCGAGATCAATTAATTTCATTAGATTCAATGTTGCTATAAACTTTAGGGACATTTATAGACAGTACCAATTTCCATTGAAAATGCATATTTAGTGATAATTACGTTATTAATTTTCTTTAAAGATCATTTTTACTAAAGTGATAATCCTTATTTTGATAATGTTTTTTGTGTGCATTTTGATAAAGAAGTAACAACTCTTTCTTTTGAATTATTTTAATTAAAGTTATGAACAATAAACTCAAATACAACCAGATAGACTATCTTTTTGAAAAATATGTTAAGCAACATGCCTTTTTCTTCTTCATTGCTAGGTGTGTAACGTTGTCTTTATTATTATTTGTGGATATTTGTGATCTTAATCCTCTATGATACTCTATCACTGTCATGTAGGATTAATTCTTTGTATCGATATATTGATACCCTATCGCTATCATATAGGGCTGAATTATTTTTAAAAGAAATAAATAAGAAACAATTAAGAGAAAATTCTCTAAGCCAGAATCCTATTTATTAAACTCTAAATTAGTATAATATATTTTATATTTTTTAAAACTAAAAGTATTGAAGAATCGGAATGTACCTCAATGATACCATACAATATGTAAATATCGTAATGGTATCATGGATGACCGAGCAATATCATCGAAGGAATGAACTTACCTCGATGAAAGAATTGTTCAATTGCTCATTGATACCACCAAAGTATATTATACTTTGATAGTATCAAAGAGGAAGAAGTAGTTTGTCCATGAACGCTGCTCAATTACTCTTTGATATCAATAAAGTACATTCATATAATGTAATATATTGTGATGGTATCAAAGAGGAAAATAAAGGATGAGAAGTCACGTCAACGTGTAAATAAAAATAAATATATGTCATTTTAAAATTAAAAAATGGTATGAAAATAATGGGGCATTTAAGGATAAATATTTTACTTTTCTTTTGAGGTGTAAGTGTTTTTTCTAATAAAAAATATAATGTCGCGTAAGTCATTGCTTCCATAATTAGAAAGACTACTGGGGGATTGCGATGCGTGCGTGCATTAATTAGTTTAGTTTGCTACGACTTGTCAATTAGGCTAAAGAATTGAAAATGCATATTTCTACTAGTATAAAATGAAAATGAACACATTTGAGTATATACTTTAAAGAGAAATTTACATAAATGACTATAATTTATGGGTTATCAGATTTTTCTAGCTATAATTATCATAATACTTTATGTAGCTATAATTATTATAAGAAAATTGCCATAGTTCATGTATTCAAAGTTTATTTATTTTGTATACTAAAATGTAATCCATAATTAGATGATATTAAAAATGACAATTTTTTCAAAAAATTTGGCAATGCCTTAAATCACGCCAATTTGCATTGTCATACTACCCATTATTAAACAACCATCTATATTTAGTTGTTAGTGTGTAAACACATAAAATATTTTTAGAAAAATTGTCAATTTTTCATTAAAAAAATGCAACATATTTCTGAACATCTTATATTGATTTGGGCTAAGATTTGTCTTCAAACCATGGATTATATTGTTATTTATAGATTCACTTATACATTAGCTTCAATTAGAAATAAATATTACACATGAAATCCGATTCACTGGATATGCATAAACAAAAATTAATAATGGAATACATAACAATATAATAATGATAAACTTATAATGATACAATATAAATAAATACAATGAATATACATACATTGAATATAGCGGGTATACCAACTAAATATACATTCATATCATATAAAAATGGATAGAATAAATACAATTCACAATTTATTGAATAAGTATACTGTGAATACACTGATACACCTATTGTTTGAATATGGAATACATATATTTGTTTGATAACTAAATGTATCCATAGATAATAACGTATTAAAGTATAATTTTTTTTTGACTACGCTCTGTTGATTTTTTAAAAAAAATTCATTTTATGTATGTATACATGTATGATACTGTATACATATATCAAAATGTATACTAATATAAGAAAAAAGGATATACATGTATTGATAACTACACATTTTCATGTATTAAGAAAATCAACAATGAAGTGTGGATATATCTAACTGTATTTTGCAATTCAATGTGAAATTAGTAATGATACGAACACAAAAAATTATACAAGTATTCACTTGTATGCAGAAAAACGTGGGAACAAGTTAATACAAATTAATTGGGAAATGATAAAATACTCTTTTGGTGGTTTATGTGGTTCTTCGGGAACACATATTTTTCTTTTTGTAAAACTTTTTTTATATATATATTTTGAAGTTTGAACACCATCCATTTGGATCGGTATGTGGTCATTTTGATTTTTATCAAATAATGTAATATTTCGTGTAACCTTCTTCATAATATTAATTTTCGCATTTTAATGGAAAAAACAAAAGGTTCAACTAAAATACAATGAATTTAAAATTATATACACTCTTATACAAATACTATGAAAAATTGAATTAAGGAGAATAAATTGATGCTATCTGAAAAATAAGTAATTGAATTAAGGAGAATAAATTGATGCTATCTGAAAAATAAGTATACCGAATTAGATGCAAAAATCGGACAAAATAGATCTTGAAAGATTTTTAATTTTTTTTACATTGATTTACGTTAATAATATAGAAAGATCGAATCGGAAACATAGGGAGTTGTGGGCTTGTGGCCGAGAATGACACCTAGACAAAGCATATTGGCATGCAAGTTTAGCTATAGTTTTCCCTTTTGAAGAACCACAAAAATCACTCCTAGAATTATAAAAAAAAAAAAATTTAAACTAAAAATAATTGGAAGAAAATATAAAAAATTTGTAATATAGGGATATTGATAAAAGAGAAGGCATTGGTGAGGATATAATTAATAATGAGTTTAATAGTAATAACTTTTCTATTTATTATTTATTTATATTAAATATAAAAAAACTGACTATTCATATATAATTAATTTTGCTATATAATATATAATTATAGTCATATAACATAAAGAATTAAACTATAGCTATTTTATTTAAATATATATTGATGTTTGTCATATTCTGTAATTTTTCCTACTTTAAATGAATAAATAGATTTAAACAATCAAGTGGGAAGTTGAGGTGAAATGTTTGAGCTTCATTATTCATTTGAACATGTAATTTTTATGATTAAGCTGGAGTATATTTAGGTATGAGTAGATGTGTTAGTGGAGTTGAAAAGGAAAAAGTGGATTGGAATTAGTTATATAAGAAGTAGTAGAAAAGGAAGATGTAAAGGCAAGGTGGTGAAAGAAAAGGGAGAATCCATCTTTAAATTAACCTGTCTTTCGCCGGAGAATTTGAATACTTTAGGTGCATCAATATAAACATAATTTAAATATGATGTTTAAGTTAAATTTAAAATAAAAATAATAAAAATAAGCTTTAGAAGGGATTGAATCTAACCGTAGTCCACAATGTGAAATCTCTTGCTTCTACCAATTGCACAAGGAACTTCTACATTTTCTATGGATACATCGGTAAGTATATCCTAATTTCTACCAGTTTTTAAAATAGATATACATATATATACATGATTTTTTCGAAAGTTAACGGGGTGCATGTGCATCCCTTTTTGAGACCACCCTTGTGTCTTTGCCAAATATACCAATGATACTCATTATTGAAAACATGTATCATATATTTTATATGAATGTAACGAACTACTACGACTACATCTTTTAATTACTTTTGTACATGCATGTGTCAATATCCAAAGTTTGAAAACTATGAAATTAAGAACAAATCGATCTTATAAGTTCATAAAGTTTGACTCAACTCTAACGAAAGCATTGTTGTACCGAAAAATACAACTTACTCATGTTGTTTCACGCAGTCAACACACAAAGATATCACATTTAATTTCTGAATGTTCGCCCATACTACTTGATCTGGGAACTGCGAAGGAACACCATATGTATGCTTAAGTCACACCTACAGCACAGCGGAACCACAATTTTTCATCGAGCGGATTCAAATCTAGAGACATATAAATACATGAAGAAGCCAAGGAATTCCAAAATATACTATATATATACATAAATATAATCCCTCTGTTTCAGTTTTGTTTTTGAGAGTCAAAACAGTTTGTTTGAATTAAATTATGCATGAAATTTTCAAATGAAATTTATATATTTGTAAATTATGTAAAAAATATTATAAGTTACAATAACTGACAATACACAATATTTAAAAAAATATTATATAAAAAATTTTATAGTCAAAGATAAACTTATTTGAATCTCAAAATCCAAATGATGTCAATGGCGTAGGGAGTAATATTGACGTTAAATATTCAACAAACGTTGTGGTAACTAGTTTCCAAGCTCCGCCCATGCTGCTACAGGGAGGAATATATATATAGTCCCTCACTTTTTAGCACATATGACTATAGAATTAATTACTCCCTCCATTTAAAAAAGAATGATCTCTTTCCTTTGTTGGCAATACTTTAACTTTCCACGTAGCATGTTTAAGGCCACAAGATTAAAGAACATTTTGATACATTTGACATAACTTTAGTTTAGAACCACAAGATTAAAAAGTTTCTTTCTTTTCTTAAACTCCGTTCCAAATCAAAACAAGTCATTCTTTTTTAAACGAAGAGAGTAATAGTTTGTGATATTATGTTTCAAGAACATGTTTCCTATCAGTGTGTATGTTTTGAAGGGAAAAAATGATAGTTAAACAAAACATATATGGGGTATAAAGGATGAATAAGATGAGAGGAAACATGCATGTTTAATATAATCATGTACTAATTAGAAGTGTATATAGAGAAAAGTGGAAATTAGTAATTACCATGGTTTTGTAGAAGGAAATAATAATGATTTACAGGAAAGACCTGGCATGAGGGGCAGAAAGAAAGATGTAGCCAAGGACCACTTGCCAACTTTCTCTTCCAAGTTTAATGTAATTTCCATATATATATATATATATATATATATATATATATATATATATATATATATATGAAGAGTAATACAAAAGTCGGCAAGTCATCCTTGGCTGCAACTCTTTCTTCCTGAACCAACATGCAAGGCCATTTCATGATCCTGATTTTTACGCTCTCAGCAGCACTATATTTATTGATATGATGAACATTTATGTTATGTATGTGTGTGTATATATATATACACATACAAAATTAATTATTTTTTTCCATGTCCCAAATGGAGGACCTTACGTGATGAAGACAGCTCGAGGAAATGGACCCAGATTTATTTATGCAAAGGATAAGGTTCCATTGCCCTCCATTTCCTCAAATTTTGAGCATCCTAACTTACCCTATTTTAAATATATGATAACTACTCTACATATTAATTATTATACAATTTGCTGCAAAGAATTTTTACAATATTCAACTTACCCAATTTAAATAACAATATATATTGAGGGACTCTCAAATTTGTAAATATATTTCATTCCAAAAGTTGAACTAATTAAGGTATGGTCCAATCAAACACATAATAAACTATTTTTTTAGATACTTCTGTCTCAATTTTTAAAAATTAATATTTGTCTATTCTGAAGTATTCATTACGTAAATAAGTTATATATTTCTTTTGAAAAATGTCACTATCACATATATATATATATATATATATATATATATATATATATATATATGCCTCAATAAGCCACAAATTAAATCTTAGACCTGATTCAGTTGAGGTATATCTGTATAACTATAAGGGATGACACATTTTGATTAGTGGTTATTCAACTTATTCATGTAATAAGTACTTGAGTATACGTGTAGAAGTTTTTCCAAAATACAAATTGAATGTGTCTGATAAACTATTCTATGATCATATTTTTAGTTGCTCATGGTTCGAAAATTTAATAAAATTTATTGACAAACTTAAAAATAAAAAATTTGTTCGACCTTAAATTATTATAATGAATTACACGTTATAGGCAATTTCTAGTTGATGGTGTAATGCTGTTGGAGAGGATAAGTTAATTTTAGAAGGATAGCACATGGTAGTTTGATTTACATTCATGACTCCTATTTGTGGAAGTTTAGAGGTGCAAGTAGTTCTTTTTCTTTTTATGGTTCTAATTTGAAATATCTAGTCATGAAATTATTTACTCCTTATTTGAATGGTTACTTTTTTCTCTCCTACTATTTGTTATCTCCAGTTAATTTAATTAAGCTAATAGATATACTACTTAAAAAGAGATTGTAGAATCATAGGGTGGTAGGAGGCTAATAGAAACTAATTAAATGTCTTTTAGTTATGGTATTAACTATATCAAAATCTTAGGTCACACTCACAGTTCATGCAGTAGCCGTTCACTTGGTCACGTGCATGCATATCCTTACAGTCCCTCGAAAAGGCAAAACAAAAAAAATAGATTGTAAGAAAATGACGTTAAAAGAAGAAAATATTTCAGAAAAGGACGTCTAAAAGAAAATGATGACCTCAAAGATGCAAGGCATTAGAAATACGTCAATTCTGCTTCTACACCTATTAATTTAATTTGTAACACCAACGATCACCTTTATGTCTCTCCTGTGCTCCCTATCGTCCGTCAAACAATAGTTGTTTATCGTATTAAATATAGTTGTCCAATAATATATGTTCAGTTTAAAAAATTATGAGACACATAAGTTATTTTTTGTCTATTTTATTTTTATTATTACCTCTGTTTAAAAAAGAATGACTTCCTTTCCTTTTTAGTTTATTTTAAAAAAATGACCTCTTTCTTATTTTGATAATATTTTAATTTCAATTTTTCACGTGGCATTTTGAAGGCCACAAGATTAAAGGATAATTTTGTACATTTATGCTTTATATAATGAATTAATTTGGTCAAAACCTCAGTATAAATATTAAAAAGAAAATTGCTAGCCTTTGTCCATAATATTATAATCATAATTGATGGACATCATTTAAGTACAATATATATTTTTTTTTAAAAAAAACATAAATGTACCCCCCCTTAGACGTCATATCCGGAGAGTACCCCCGGATGCGACCGGTGTCATCGTCCTCTCAGAGGACTCAGACAAGCCCTCAACATTCGTCATAACATGTCATCAGTTAAAATTGTGAAAAAATAAAAAAATTTTAATACTACGTAAAGTATACTTAGACTTCATACTTAACAATCATGAAAACATACATAGAGATTGTATAAAAGCTGTGTCATATAAAAATCATATAAAGAGTACGAATCTGAACTTAGCCAATAAAAAGTCAACGCCATATAGACCTTAATACAAAAGAAAAAAGTATTCTTAAAAACTACTAAAGTCTTCATAAGCTAGAATACAAAAAGATAACATCCCCGAACATGAGGACCTACCAACACTTGGAGAAAGAGTTCCAAACTTCTTCAATCGACCTTCACAATCTTCAATGACCGGACCCTACATTTGTAGTAATATAAGGTAATGACTTAGTACGCCACATGTACTAATTATGGGTAGATATACATAACATTTAAGGACATGCATGAAAGATCATTTCTTAGAAAGCATGCTAAGTCATTTGAAAAACTTCAATGCACATACCATAGAATATATACAAATTAAGGATTCCATCAACATAAAGCATGGTCATAATCAAAGGTATACTATGATAGAGTCATGTTAACATTTCATATTCAATAGAGTATATAAACATAAAATACAAAACACTTACAAATGATCCCATCCTCAACCTACAAGTGCAATGGTCATGTGAACCCCCATAACCCCACACAACCCAGTAGACAGGATAGGAGACCATAAGTTAAGTTTTGCTTCATATAACTTGTAACATAGTAGTCATCATATCATATAACAATATAGTCTAATAACATGTTCATCAAAATAACCAACATCATATATCATAAGCATCATACCTTTCATGTCATCATATTACATAAGGACAATCTCTTAGGACTTCTCTTTGAGTCAAGTTGTGCAATGTCTAGGTAGATCCCTATCCCCTACCTATACTAAGTAGACTCCTCAAGTCACCCTAGTCAATGTCCATTTACTTGAGGTAACATTCTCCTTAGCCAACATAGACCATGTGAGCTAAGTATTGAATTCGATGTCATAAAACTCAACACCGAAAGAACGTGGTCTACCGACCAAAGTAGAACCAAACATGACATAGCTTTCTATGAGGATCCACTAGCTAGTATCCTATGGTGGCAACATAATTCAAGAACTAGGAGATGTATTAGATACCCATAGTTCCATATTACATGAAAGCCTCTAACTCACGAGAGTCATTGCGAACCTACTTCCACTAGGGAAGGGACACCTCTCTTATCTAATTCATTGGTGCTAAGCTAAAGTCCCTTTTGATTAGCCATTAAGTCATCATTTATTCATAAATGTTATTATAAGTCATAGGAGATTAAATCCTTGTATAAATATGATCATAAGCTCTTTAGGATTAGATGAGAATTTCCTTTCATCGTAACCCTTCGTTTATGAGATTAACATATCATAAATCATCTTGTGTAAAGCATACAAGAGAATATCATAAACTTGTATTATCATATTCTTATTATGATCTCACAATTTAACATATTCATAGCCCAACATATATGCATTGCAACATCATACAATCTTCATTAACATCGTAACATCATTTATAGGCAAACATAAACATCATAGAGTAATCACGATTTTAGAAGACTTACCTCTTGCTTCCAAGATCCTTATTCAACAACTTATATTCAATATACAACAACCATCCAACAACTTAGTGAAATAATCAATAGCATAATCAATAGTAACTTTTCAACTTACAAAGAAGATTAGTTCGTAAAGTAGAATAAGGGAGAGGGTCATTTAGGAGTTCATTCAAGTCATAGTCCCAATCTTTACAATTACATGTTATCAAGTGGTAGGCATACCCCATTCGAAACCATGAGTTTGACAGGGACATGATTCACACAAAATTCAAGTATTACAAGTCAAACATTCGACAAAATATACTAAATCAACCATAGAAAACCATTTTTTTTCCATCGATAGTCTTAAATTTAGAGTTAGGAAGAAAACCCGTTTTGTAGAGTAAAAACCCTAGGAGTTAAATTATTGAAAAATATCTTTGAAAGGACCTCTTGGGGAAAGGAATCCTAAGAGTAAAAAAACCATACCTTATTGACGAATAATCCACGATTTAGGATTGAAAAACTTGAAGTCTTCATCTTCTTCCTTAAGCTCTTCTTCTTCTTCAATAGAGTTTGGAAAAGAGAGAGTTCCCGAGGGAGATGGGAGAAATTCGTTTGATTTGGTTTAAGTGTTTAAAAAGTGATCTAAATTCAATATATAGTCTTCTCACAAAATACATAAAAGACCCTTCACTTAAATGGATATTTTTGTTAAGTTAAATTACCAAAAATACGATTTTAACAAATGTGGGAAGTGGCTGCGCATAGTGGGGCTAATTATCATTCTTTTTCTGAAATTTTGGGTGGAGGTAGTGTGCCTCGTGACAGCCTCGTGACGATAGGCTGACTCTCAAATATTGAGTCAGTACGCTGCGTGTGGAGTGCGCGTCGTGCAATAGCCCCTCCAATCTATCTGCTCGCCCAAGTTTGGGTCCTTCCCAAGGACCTTTCAGGTGGTCCTTGGGGTGACGTTATTGGATATTTGGACCCTTGGTACTATATAATACCTATAAAAAGTCATTTTACTAATTTATTACTTCATTTGACACTTCAAAACCTTTACCGATCATAGGGACGTTAACTAGTTTAAATTAGCTAGTTTCCCGATGTCAATGTCTTTCTTTGTCGTTTTGGATCTAACCTTTTCCAAATGAACTTATTACATTAATATAGGTCTTGAAATATTATTTTGAAAATTATTTAATAGATTAATCGCTAGTCTAAGTCATGAAATTTCAGGAGTGTTACATTATCCCCCCCCCCCAAG